ATTACATACATACGTAACTTTTCCTGCAACTCTCCAGTATACATGTTTTACAACAGTTAACGCACGCTGGCAGCACATGACGTGCCACACATGCATTATATTGTGCCCTTGAAACATTAATACACGATTACAAGCATTCAACACGAAGACACGTCATCCGTAAATCAGCCAATAGAAAACAGACATGCTCTTTTTAGGGTTTCCGTTTTTGTTCCATATGAGGTAAAGGTGCCAGCGTCTACTAACCAGCAGCTTAGTCTGCTAGTGTGTGTGTGTGCACATCCGATGATGTAATCATTACGTCACTAACAAACAGATGTCACATATACATAACAGTATGGTGGTCACATTCCAAGTGTCCATAAAAGTCCACACCTTATTGTATTCACGATCCCATTGCTACTGTAGTGGTGGTACAGAGAACCACCAAAACTATGAGTGGCCGCAGACAAAATCGCACAGAGTTTTTTTCAATGTGACGTCAAGGGATATAGAAAGCAAAAGAGGCGTTTGTCGGGAGTTGTGTAGTGACTGAAAGTCCAGTACACCATGCGAGTTTGCAGACAAATGCCTGTCTTCCACTTTCTCTTCCGTTTCTTTGATGACGGTGTCTTTATACTAGATAAATATGTGTCCGTTTTTGCTGGATTTATTTCCTACCGTAAGCTGTCAACTGTGCTATATTATGGGAAGAACCGTGCTACTATGAGTAAAAGTGTCCTATGACGAATATTGCACTGGGCGTTACAGACAGCCCTTTGATCCGCCAACGCAAGAGTTCATATGTACAATTAATGAGACAAATAGCCCTCGGCATTTAATGTAATTATGAGATCGTTTATCATAGAGCTCAAACCACCTTATCAAATTACGCGCAATTACAAGATCGTTTATCATAGAGCTCAAACCACCTTATCAAATTACGCGCAATTACAAGATAAAAAGGATGGCCTTATTCCACGCCAACCGACCGACCACCTCGTTTTAGGACACCACTTCAATCAGGACACCTCGTTAATCCGGACACCTCATCAATCAGGACACCTCGTTCATCAGGACGATGTAAGCCAAGGCTGCGTCCTGATCAAAGCCAGCCTCCACACATCTAGGATTCCGATTAGAATCCGGTCGACACAGAAGAAGCAAATATTACCACATTTCCCTTTTCAAACAAGGAAATGGGTGTCAACAGCAAAATTTGAGGAATTCGTGTTTATCCAAACGTCAATTCTCAATTATCAACTGACCTCACGGCTAAGGAAGTTTGTTGAATCAAAACTGACATCGATAAACTAGTGTTTGTCCATAAACACTACAGTTAAACCTCCTAAAATGACACTCCAAATAAAGGACACCTCTCTATATAAAGGACACTTGGTTCCACCCAATATTGATATGTTTTACTACCTCCAAATAAAGGACACCTCTCTATATAAAGGACACTTGGTTCCGCCCAATATTGATATGTTTTACTACCTCCGAATAAGGACACTTTCAATGTCCCCAAGGTGTCCCTTATTCCTGTCATAAATTAGTGACACCTCTAAATTAGGGACGCCTCTGAATGAATAACACTTTCAATAATTCCCCAAGGTTTCAGCTATCGAGCGGTTTTATATACCGTAAGCCACTAGTTGCACTGCGAATTGAATAAATTTGCTTCGCTTCCTTAGCAAGCATTTCGCGACACTCCTAGTCGCATATGAGGCGTGCAGGCATATGGTCCAATGGTAAACCGTGCCCGGCACATGCACCGAGGGTGACGTGATGGCTGTTTGTTAAAATTGTTTCCTTTCAAAGCTAATAACCCATGTCCAGTGCATGATACGAATCCAAATTTCATAAATTTTTCCCAGCGCACGTGTACAGTCTGTAAATATACTGCATTTAAGACAACCAATAACTCTTTATGAGCTGGTCTATTAACCCTGAAGCAACTTACCCATCACCATAAAACAGTATCTACATACCATTTACATAAGGGTGGGGTGCTTATCAAAACTGTTGTTACAGACACCTCCCGACATCAACAGTATACTTTAAAGGAGGACTGCACACAATCCCTTCTCCATAGTTGACTGTTGACGCAAGCCCTTGCAGCACTTGCATTATTAGGTGTGATAAGGCCTATGCACTGCACAGTAAATACTTGGTAAATGTTTGTGTAACACAAAAGCTGGAGCATAACAAATGTCTCATCAGCCCACAAATTTTTGGGGATGGTTAAAAATTCTTCGATAGTATCCCAGTATAACTTGTCAGCCCCAATTTGCTCCAATACCTTGTCACTAATTAAATTCTGATTTCACATGGAAGATCTGTATATACATCCTTTTTAAATCCCTCCCGCCCCGAAGGACGAGTGGTTCCTATCAGATATTAACGCTTATTGAACCACTCAGTCTGAGTACCAGCAAACAGCTGCATTCTATTCAAGTGTCCCGCCAAATTGCACTTCTATAAAGACATACACACACCTCCTAAACTTGCACTTGCCTACTAAGAACAGTCCCATACACACATACACACTTTGTATATTATATCTCAGCATTTTGGCAATATCAAGGGTCTTGGAAGTATAAGTGTAGCTGAGCCTAATAGCCAATGTATAGTGCCCTAAATACAGAGCTATTGTGGACTCCAATGTATAGTGCCCTAAATACAGAGCTATTGTGGACTAATGTGAACTACAACGTTTTCAAATAGGCCCAATGTAAACAGTGGTACATCCATAGCTGATAGAAACGTCCACGACAACAGCTACCGCCGCAGGGAGCTTAGGAGGCCGTACTATATATGCTCCCACGCATTGCGTGCCTGCTCCGAACCCACGAACGAGGAAAAAACCGCCGCGCCAAGATGGGAGGGGAAGCCTTTCAAATACGCAGGCCCAGCTAGCTTGCCATGTATATACGCAACCGGCCAACAGCTGCGCCTCGTTGACCGACTTTACGCAAGAAGGGGTCGGCTGAGCAAACTTTCGCACGGAAAACGACCAGCTACGCAAGTCAATGTGAAGCCGATTGATAGCTGGGGCATCTTTGCAACGCAACTAGTCAATGTGGGGCCGATTGATAGCTGGGGCATCTTTGCAACCCCTAAACAGAAAAAAAGGGAGAGGACAGAATACGGACGGTAAGGCTGCAGCCTTTATCCGCGCGTTTCCTTCCCACAACATCGCGTGGGTAGTAGCTATAGTCTAGCTCATACCTAGCTCCATTGCTGTACAGAAAGAGAGAGCGGCTGCACACAACAGCGTGGAGATGGAGATACGCCGAATCCAGGACATCTTGAGGTTTGAAGAACGCTCGCAGTAGTAGGTTTCCTGCCTCTCGGATCGAGTCACGGATGGTGCGCAAGCAGCGTTTTTGCGTTTTATAGCCTCCGCCCCCGAGAACGAACCGATCCGCTAGCAATACGCGCATGCGCAAATAGTACGTCAATTCAACACGCGCCTCTTTTACAAGTTTGGGATGGTTACACAAGTTCAGCATTTTCAGGCTAAATGAAAGATGAGAGGATAAACTAAAACGTCTTTGACGTGTGTGGTAACTGACAAAATGGGCATCGACGAAAAGGTTTCAGTAGTCGTAATTCGACTTCTCCAAGTACTCTAGCACCGAGTCAAACCCTGCATCTCTCGCTTCGTGGATCATTATCCCTGTGGGAGGCTTCCCGCGCTTCGGGAGACAGAAACTACAGTTGCAAACGCGCCGACAAGGAGGGCACACCCACGTGTCCTGCACCAAGGCTTCTCTGATGTCTTCGCCGTAGCGATTCAGGAGACACGGACCGCAAAACTGACCGCGGACGCCGCGACAGTTGCGGTTGTGGCAGACCGTCTTGGTATCGGTGGTCTTCTGGCGGCACTGGTGGCAAGTGGTACCGTTGATCCGGTCGTATACCTTATCGGTTGTCTTGATGGCTACCTTGTTGATTTTAGACTTGTAGCAGACCGGGTTGTGGTCCAGCTCAATCTCAACCGGCTCTTCCTCACTGTGCCTACGTTTCCTACATGGAGAGAACCGGAGGGAGAGAACCAGAGTGAAAAAAAAGAACGCAGAAAAACGCACATTTCTTGATGTAAGTAGCATGCTCCTGGCAAAATATTATGGGCATGCCCATTGCACACAGCAGTGGAGAGTTTTCTTTCCACACAATGCAGAGGAGGGTCCAACTGATAAAAATGGAAATGTGAGTTTTTATAGTCAGGAATCCTGTAGGTCTTCATACTTTCTAGAACAATAGACACACCATTACGCTACCTTCACATGCAGAGCACACGCTCCACACAGCAATTTATTCTTCCTCTTTTCTTCCTCTTTCCCCCCTCACTCCCCTTTCCCTTCTCCCCCTTGCATTTGCACACACTTTACCTGCTTCTGATGGCTACTTTTCTCAGTTCCTGCTCGTCTTCAACTCCATCAATTAAACTAGCTTCTCCGCTGCTGACTTTCGTCATGGAGCGAGTCACGGGCCTCAAGTCAGCCGTGCCATTTGTAGCTCGGGATTTTCGCAGTGGATTACGTCGCGGCATTACCAGACTCCGTCTGAGGGTGTGAGCAGGCAGTGAGAGAGACAGGGGAAGAGCAGGAGGAAGGAGAAGAGAGGGTGTGCGGGAAGAAGAGTGAGGGAGAGAGGGAATGTAACAAACTCTTCTATATTCCGCCCCTCACTAGCACAGAGAGAAAGAGAAAACAATGGGGGACGAAAAGATGCAGAGAGAAGGCAAAGTAGAAAAGAATTGAGAAAAAAGGTAGGTACCGTGCTCTAGTTCTTGGCGTGACTGGGGATCCATAGGTGCCGTCTCCGTCCTTTGACGACTCTGGCGTTCCCTCTTTTACCACGGGACCTCTCCTGACGACGGGCCCGCTGAGACTGGTCCCGTCCGGAAACAGCTCCTCCAGCATCTTCCTGTTCTCCTCGATCCTCTTCTGCCGCTCTCGCTCGTACTCGCTCATACCTTTCGTCTCCATCTCGCCCCCCTGGTTCAATTCCGGGACCTTCTTCTTCGTCTTGTAGGAGCTCGCGCTCGGTGCTTTTTCGGCTCGCAGAGGCTTGCTCGGTTTAAAAGTAGTAGATTTAGGGGCGGCCTCTCTTCACTGTATGTAGCTGCACAACCGATTCTTTCCAAACAGAGTGCTGAAAGTTTGCGGGAAGAGGCGGCGAGGAGGATCACTTACCCGCCAAAGTCGCGCCAATGTGAACACTTGTGCGCATGCGCAGCGTCCACACTGACGTCACGGTGAAAATTTTCCCGCCGTAAACACACGCGCGAAGCCGCGAAACTGAGAGAAGCACAGCGCTACTTCTGCCGTGGAGATGGCTGGCAGGTGCAGAACGAGCTTCCCCGAGCCAGAAGAAGAGCTGGGAATTACTCACGTATGTCCTTTAGGAGCCGATTTCGCCAAGATGCAGTCGTTGTTACTATGTATTACCGGCGCTGTCGCTACAGTGGAACCTCTCTCTCTAAGGGCACCCTGAGATGAGGACGACTCTATAATAAGAATACCCCACTAGCAGTTCTTAAATAAGGACACCTCTGCTCACAAATATGGACACTTTCTTCTGCCCCGTTTGTGTGTCTTGATCAGAGAGGCGTATACTGTAGCTGTGTTTTGCAGGAGTGTCGCGGCTGGCAGTGCTGTGCTCTGTGTCGCTCCAGTAGACTGGGAGTTGCAACTTTGAGGAGAGCGAGAGAGAGACAAGTGGCGTGGAGGGAAACTAACACCCCACTTCACAACAACCCTGTACCTGTGGGTAGCGTGTGTGTGTGTGTGTGTGTGTGTTGGACTGCTAGTTATTGTATCTTACGTCATCACGCAGATTCACCTTTTCCCGTTCTGTTGTTTTAGTGCAGCAGCACACTGGTGGCTGTATATACAAGCACATCCACCTCACCATAAACATACCCCCACCTTACTACTTACTTGCCCTTCATTCCGTCATTCTCCCATTCCCAGGATCCCGTTCCATTCACGTCACTGGACGATGCGTTTGACTCTCTCCTTCAATACATGAACACTGCTTCAAGAAAATGCCGTGTGAGCTGTCAGCAACATTTTACAGTCAAACCCCTGTAATCCGGACACTAATTGGGAAAAAGAAAGTATTAGTGAGGTGTCCTTGTCAGGGAATGCAAAAATTTTTTACAGACATCCGTAAGGGTAAAGTTTGTGGCTTGGAATTTTAAAACCTCTTCTTCCTCTTACCCCTAGCTCTTGTGTCTGTTGTCTTTTCTGTTTGTAGAACTACCACTGTTGTCACGACGACCACTCTCCCCGTGGGTCACATGCCCACAGACATCGTGTAAGATATCACGACGGTTCCACCTTACACCCTGGAGACCGCAGAGACAAACTGGTTAGTGTCTAGTTTTGTGTTTGTTTTTTGCAGTTTCTCGTTTGCTTTGTCTCAATTACATCATTCTATGTAGATTCACAAGTTATTCTTCCTCCCCTTAGTCTTGTTCTCCACCTCCGCGAGTTGTCCTCAACGCGTCGCCAGGCAACTACGTTGTCACGGCAGCAAGATGGGGTCCTCAAGCCACACCCACCACTAGAGTCGTGAACCTTGACCCCGAGAAATATGTCACTCTAACTATGACGGTTTAGCTCTCTTATTGCATTCCTTTTTCTGCAATTTTTACGCAATATTGAACCTCCAGTGTAAATGTTTTTTTTATTGCTCGCGAGTTTGTGTGAGTAACGCGTGGAAAGACCTTTCAACCCGAGCTGGGAATGCGCCCCATGCATTATTACGGTGCGGAATGGGGCCAGAACGAACGCGGGCGTGTCTTGTAAAAAGAACGAGCGAGCGCAGACAGAAAGACAGAAGGGGATGTCAGACGAGGAAATGGCTCGTGCAGGCGAGGGTAAGGACACGGCCTACGAGTACCTGTGTCGGCTGGAGGAGGCAAAACAGTGAGTCCTTTCTGCAAAATGATGATTTTCACACCGCTTTTGCTGCCCGACGCCCTACTAACAGCACCGCGACTCTTTCTGGATTTATGTAGCAGCAACGTGATATAGACACCCCTAGGCCTATAACTCCTAGCTGCATTATTTGCTAGACTAGACTATACAGCTTTCGCGAAGGACGAGCGATTTCCGCTTCGATGTCGTGTGTTGTGTAAGCACACGCGCGTTCTGGTAGGGTGTGTGTGTGCCTCGCTAGCTATCCCTAAGTGTGTGTTGTGACGTTTCGAAACGGTTGATGTGTTTACTTGTACTTGAGCTTAGGGGTCGTTGACATTTACGTGAACTTCGAGCTCTGCGTATTATACTAACTCTAGAAACTGCAGAGGAAAAGGGGGGGGGGGTTAGCTAAGGATCGATAGTGGGCGAAACCAGGGAACTCTTTCCATGTGAGAAGCAGTACAAACAGTAGGCATGCAAAGGGTAAAGGCATAAGCACAGCTATAGATTATCCTGTATTGGCCCAACAATGTAAATTTTGTAGTTTTATGGGGCTTACGCTTATACCGTATGTCTGCAAAACCCGTACAAGAATAGCTTAGGCAACGCCTTTTAATGCACACCAGACTTATTGCGAAAAAGAAAAAATCGGGTTACTAGACGTAGAAATTGCGCAGAGCTCTGTCAGCTAATATAGCCTCCACAGACTCTGTTTTGGTTTACACAACTTTATAAACTGCGGAGCTACTTGGCAGGTAATTTGGTTGAATTACAACGGCTTAGGTATGTCACCTGAGCTAGCTAGCCCAGTTATCATTAGACTATGGACAGACAGAGAGAGGGGGAGAGGACAAAGGGTTAATAGAGAAAGTGGGAAAGTGGGGACAAAGAGGGTTTTGCCGGCCAAACTTCCACTTGTGCGCTTCTGATCTTGTTTCTTTCTGTAATCCGATGGAATTTCCCAAATTGCCCGTCTTCCAAAGTGTGCACTCTGCTACTAATGTCTGTATTATAGTGTCTATGTGTAGTAAGTGTGTATGGTATGGCAAGTAACACACGATCTGCATTATATTGTGAATGTTTTGCAGGTTCACACGAAATGAACATGATACTTTCTACGTAACTATACACGGTTGTTTATAAATATGCCTTATACCCTTTGAGGCTGGGGTATATATATACAAGTAACACATCATATTTATAACGAACTCGATGTTTCATTCTAATGTCGTGAGACTCTTCTTCAAATTTAAATGATATTCATGAGTCGAAAGCCCGTTTAGAAAATGCCGCGAGATTATTGAGCATTAAAGGTTTTAATGGACCCAGTCTTAGTATAGTACGGTAGTGCGGTATTTTTCAACATTTTTCCCATGTTGTGTTCACAAGGAAGGTAACCAGGGAGAGAGAAAGATTTTATGTACGATCGCCGAGCGTGAAAATCGCCACCCACCACGGCACCTCTTGTTTATCATTTGGTGTGTGTAGTTGTTTTTCCTCTTTGGGCTGCTCTCAATGGACACACCGTGATTCATACGCCCATTTTCAATACGTCACTGTTTGTGCCTAATATGAGGGAAAGGAGCAGGAAAAGGGGGATTTGGGAACCTTGTATCTGTAAGGTTTTGTCAGCATTGCTACACATTTATCACATACATACACATATACGCTATACACATAAAATACGTGTATCTTGTGGGAGAGGGCACCGTGTGCATGTAAGGAAATCAAAAAGTAAAATGAGTGCTTCTGTAGTAAGGTGTGTGCGCCAGTGTTGGTAGCACGTTACCAATTGTGGGTCGACGGACACAATGCGTTATTGTGGTGTGCCTCATTACCTGATGGTGCATTATATATCTGTTGTGAGTACTTAATAATGTGTGAGCTCATAATTAGTATGTTACTATATAGTTAATGAGAGTCATGCAGCTGCTTCTAAGTTTTGATAGCTCTGAGATAAGGGATGAGCATTCTCCCATAATCCTTAGTGGAAAAGTACAGGAGTATATACCTCATAATTAAATAGGGCATATATGGAAGGCTATGGTGTGCTTTTAATGCCAAAGTGATGCAACGGGAAATGGGAAATAATAGCATCTCCTTGTTTTATTACAGATGGTTAGAGGCGGTGCTTGGTGTGTCGTTGCCGCCGGCAACGGAACTGGAAGCGGCCCTCCAGAACGGAGTCGTTTTGTGTCAACTCGGTGCCAAGCTGGTTCCAGACGACCCCATGTGGGGCAAGGTGTACGACATGGACCAATCAAAGTTCAAGGTGCGTACGGAACGGTGTTCAGGAATGTTAGCATGGAACAAATGCACTGAACTTAGAATTTTAACAACCTTTTCAGATCCAACACTATTTGACTTACACACATATTATATATAGTTGAACCCCACTAATCCGGACACCAATGGGACAGAAGAAAGTGTCCTTTTGCATGCAATAACTGTTCTTGGGGAAATAAAAAAGGTGTCCTTATTAGAGAGGTGTCCTCATTTCAGGGGTGTCCTTAGAGAAGAGTTTCACTGTAGCTATACAGGCGAAGTGAGTGTTGGCGCAATGTTCATTTGTAGGAATTCTGCGGAATTTCTCACAGTTTCTAGTAACTTTAGGTCTTTCCCCCTGACTTCCTGCCCCATGGAAAGTAGGTTAATGTGTCCTTTTGCCCTGTTGAACTCTGACTTCCTCCATTCAGTTTCACCAGCTTCCTCCCACTCTCTCTCTTCCTTTCCTTCACTTCCACCTACACTCTATTATGTAATAGACAACATTAGGTATATAGAGATGAAGCACGATCACTTCACTTCCCCACTCTAAAAATTCTCACCTCCTTCTCTCTCAGGCCAGAGGTCTCGACTACAGATATACTGACAACATCAACTTTTGGCTGATCTCCCTTCACAAGTCGGGCCTTCCCAAGGTATAATATTTGTAGTCACGTGACTAAAAAATTATGGCATCATTCACAGACAATCTACGCCATAGTTGAAGTTTATTTATGTAACTACAATTAGTGGGCTTTCAAAAAAGTAATTGCATACACTAATTGAAAATAACACAGCATTTCAGTTCATTTATTTTTCTTGTGGACAGATATTCTACCCAGTGATGACTGATATTTACCACATGAGGAATATGCCAAAACTCATCTACTGCATTCACGCTCTTGGGTAAGATCTGTTCATTGCAAGTGTGTCCACTTCAGGCAGGTGTACCAATGAATGGCGTGCACAGTGGTTTGCTAGTGGTAAAGTCTGACTCGTTGATCAGTGACAGATCCAGGGGGGTTCCGTGGGTTCCGCGGAACCCCCCTTTTTGTCGTTTTGCGTGCATGCGTCGCCGGCCTCGTGCGCGCTCACAAGCGCAGTCGAAAACGTTCTGGACAGTGGAACCCCCTTTTCAAAATCATCCACCACTGTTGATCAAATGGACGTATTACTATTATTACCCACTCTTTCTTCCCCTTTCTTTCTCTTACCTCCCTCCATTCTCTTCACCCACCCACCTCTCCTTCCCTTCAGCCACCTCCTCAAGAGGCAGAATAAGGTTCAGCACGCCATAGAAGATCTGTACGGACAGGCGGAATTTTCTCCCGATGTCATTTCTCGTACCAGCAAAACTCTGCGGCAGTCGGACATGCCTGCCTTCAGCATCGTTGATAACCTTGTCGAGGAAGAGGTATGTACCTGTGACATCACTATGATGTAATGAATCGATAAGTTCCACTGTAGTGTCGACTCTAAAAAAGAATAAAGGACACCTCTCTATAATGACACTTTGTTCTGCCCCATACTAATACATTAGTGTATTTTGTAATGGACAATTTCAATGTCCCCAAAGAACTCCTTATTCAGAGGTTTCACTATAGTTAACACTTAACCAGCCACGGACACGTAAATGTGTCCAGAGTCTCCGTAAGTCCATAACAATTTTTATGGGGGTTATAATACTAGGCGCTAGTACTTTATACATATATCAATTTCTGCTGATTTAAGGAGATCCCAAAAGCGTCCAAAGGGCTAATGCTGCTAATTGCTAATGTTTTGTGCGTATACAGTTGCAGTATCAGGCTCTCGGACTGACAGACAGTTTTGATGAGAAAGACACGATCACTGTAAATGGTTCAGAGACCAGTCCAGTGGATGGACATATAAATGGAGGAGGAGGAGAACGAGGGAAGAGAGGGAGGGAGGAAGAGAAGGAGAGAGACGAAGAGAAAGGAGGAGGAGGGGGGTTTAGAGAGGAGGACCTTTTCGACGACCCGAAATACGCCAGCTCAATGTGGATAGAGCAAACGATGCTAAAAGTACAGGTGAGCTGAGTTTTTGGTTATATTACCTCATTTCCAGGGCCTTCCCCCATAAAATATTCGAGCAAGCCAGAGTCTTGGATACAAGTAAACATATTTGCTCCTGACCTTAACTGCAAAAACCCCACTTTAGCAATAATCGTGTGGTCTCCAGTTGGCATAAGCAGCAGAAAATTTCATGAGCAAATATGCTCCCCCCGTCGCATCTTTAAGCAAGCGGTGAATGCATCTCTCTCTCGACACGACAACACATCTTCATTGCATTTGCATGGGTACAAATACAAATGAGGAGTGGGTTATAAGTACCATGATCCTATCGTCTAGATGATTTACAACGTCATCACACGATCACATGGGCCCACAGGCACGATACAAACCAAACAATAGACACAAACACTAGACTACAAAACACAGAGAAAGAACACAAACTAACATGTTTTGTCTCTCTCTCTCTCCCCCTCTCTCTCCTCCCTCCAGCGAAACGGTTCGCCTCCCGAATCGCCCGACATGCGCCATCCTTTCACATCCACCAAGTGTCAGATTCGCGACGTTACAGTTCACCTGTACGCCAAGAAATCGCGGAAGAAAAAGTGCCCTTCAGCAGGTAAGAATTAATCCTAACATCATTAGTATAACTATACAATAGTTCTTAGCCTATAGTGTAGCAATGGTATCCTGGAATACGAAGCTATGATGGAGTGGTACTACATGTGATTTTTGTTTTAACCCTGAGTTGTTCAGCATCGCTACATGTGATTTACGTTTTAACCCTGAATTCTGCTACATGTGACATCCGATTTAACCCCTTCCTCTCACCCCCCCCCCACAGTCGACAAAGCTCTGGAGAAAGTCAACGTGGCCATGGACGAAGAGGACAAGAAGCAGACGTTTACTGCTCTGCAGTCAAAAGAAGCCAAACTTCCGTTTCTCTACACCGACAGTGTGGACAAGTATTGGAACGATCTGAGGAGAGATAGAAAGGGTGGAGTGCCTTGCAATGTACTGGTGAGTGCTGTGCAGCAGAAGAAGTGATCTTTGTGACTATGGGAGAGAATGGATATACTGTACTATTAGAACTATTGTAGTAGAACCCCGAGTGGAATTTATCGTAAGCACAGGTTTGCGTTTCAAAATATTTTCATACTACATTTTGTGTAAAGGCTATGGAGCTAAGAGTTGGGTTGTTGTTAATACTCCCGGTTTCGGGAAAAGGCTAACTTGACTCTTTTACAACTTTGCACTAAAATTTCAATTGGAGTTCACATGACGTAATCACCGACATACCGCACTACTACGCTTATAACAAGTCCTTTGTCGGCATAAATTCATGTCACATGACATAATAAAGTGAGATGTTCTTGTCAATCAGGTTGTGTATTCCGGCATGACGAGAGAGATGTGTGTCGAGTTCCTGGAGAAAATGGAGTGAGTTGACAAACACAATTTTTTACCAACTCAATTATTTGGTGGAACCCCTGAAATAAGGACACATCTCTAAAAAGGACACCTTTTCTTTTCCCAAGAGCAGTTTCTTGGATCCACTGAAATAAGCACACCTCACTAATAAGGATACTTCATTCTGCCCTATTGGTGTCCAGTTCAGATTTTCACGTGCAGGGCCTTTTTTCATGGGGAGAGAAAGGTGCCCATATTAGATTTCTTTGTTTCGGAGGTGTCAAGTCTTGTTTAGACGTCGGCAGTTTTAAATTGACCAATCAGACTGCGTAAAGCGTGGATTCTAAATCCCGTATTTTCCAAGTGCGTGTTTCCATGGAGACGCCCGCCAAAAAATGGCGTCTTCGATGGGGGTGTGGCAAGCTTCTAGGCAAAGAAACTCGCTCTGTCGCTGAGAGCTCGCCGCGACGACTTCAAACTCGCTATATCCGATGCTTCTTCGATGAAAGGCCTCTCTAAGATGCAAAAAGAAACTAAACTGAAGACCTTTTTAGCTTCCCCCGGCAAGAGCGAGTCTTTCGGAAGACGGCGGACCTGGACGATTTTGAAGGCCGGCACGGCCTCCGTCTAAACAGGTTATACTGCTTGTCAATGGAAATACACGATTTAGACGGCCTCGGAGCCCTTAGTAGCGTCTTCGCTGCGCTCAGACAGCTACAGCTCAGGGCCCCTCGTGCCGTCTAAATCGCGTATTTCCATTGACGCGCAGTATAACCTATATTTAGCTCTGTCTCTTCTCCTCTATATCACCAGCCCAGGAGCCTACATCGTCAGGAGCAGTATTTCCTTGGAGAATACCTTCGTTTTCTCATTCAGGTATATACTAATTACTATCCCTCCCACCCCCACAGTTGGTTGGTCTGTCTTTCCCTCCACTTGCTTGCCAAAAGTACGAGAAGTTTAGGCCACCCTATTTCACACAGTCACTCCTGAGGATTATTTTCACTGCACACTCCAGCTATAGTCAAGGTATTCAGGATGGTTGGTTGGCCTGTCCTTCCCTCCACTTGCTTGCTAAAAGTACAAACAATTTAGGCCCACCCTATTCTTTCACTGCACACTCCAGCTATAGTCAAGGTATTCAGGATGGTTGGTTGGCCTGTCCTTCCCTCCACTTGCTTGCTAAAAGTACAAACAATTTAGGCCACCCTATTCTTTCACTGCACACTCCAGCTATAGTCAAGGTATTCAGGATGGTTGGTTGGCCTGTCCTTCCCCCCACTTGCTTGCTAAAAGTACAAACAATTTAGGCCACCCTATTCTTTCACTGCACACTCCAGCTATAGTCAAGGTATTCAGGATGGTTGGTTGGCCTGTTCTTCCCTCCACTTGCTTGCTAAAAGTACAAACAATTTATGCCACCCCTAGTCCCCGTTGTAATATAAATTTGAGAGCATTTCTTCAGTCCTTGTTTCTTGGGTTTTTCTACTTTACGTGCATGCATGCAATTGTGAAGGGCACAGAGAGTGACGTATAAAAAATCAGGTTGTCACGGGAACCAAAGTGATATAAATCTGGTCGTCATAGGAACCAGACGGGGATCAAACACTGGCAGCTGTCGGACCGGGAAGGGAAGTACTACTGGGGAAGCTCCTCTGGTTTCCACACCCTTGAGAGCTTCGTGGAGGTATTGTATATACACAATGCATGTACATATGTAGACACCCCCGCACTTTATTTTTTACGATTTTGCAGCCCGACAAAAATATTAATGCGTAAAAATTGGAGGTGTTTTAAACAACATCTGTAGCTATGTTTTTGAATGTGTTGCCTTTTTTGGTCCAAACTGAAAGTCTTTGCAATGTATTCTTTCGGTTTCAATCATATCCCTATTTTTGAGTTTCCCCTTAGCACAACACTTCTTACAGCTGCTCAGTAAACAACACGGTGGTAGGTATATGTATTAGAACCTGAAATGCCGGTGTATATATATACGACGTGTGTGTTATAAAGCCCTGGTGTAGTTGGTGAAAACACAGTGGCTGTTGATGTAACTAAAAGCCTTGCCTTATTCGGGCTGTGTTTCGCATTACTCAGTAGTTTCAGAACCGCTTCGAGAGGGTTTTAAGCTCCACGCAACGATACGCATCACATTTCGAGGCGTTTTTAAACGTTGCAACAGTCCCGTCTGTCGTTTTGAATTTGAACTTGCCAGATGCAAAGATAGGTATTTTATAGCTACTAGTATTAAAGTGTATGTAGTATGATTAGGTCGATTCAAGTGCAGAAAGGGTAGTATAATTATAGTAGAGTTAACAGCAGTAGAGTATAGCTTTTGTTGAGGAGTAACATTCTCTTTGTCGTACTTTGTGCAAATGTTCGAACTCACAAAGTTATACAGAGATGTCTCTACTAAAGTGTTCTTGGAAAAAGGAGCTGTCCTGGGTCTTGTTTGTTGTGCATTTGCTGCCTTTCTGCCTCGTAATTTACACGTGCATAAGCAGGGCACATTAAATCTGGGATGGTGTACATTTTTCCCTCATATTCTCACAGCATTTTGCGGAGGCCCTCTCTCAAGTGACTCATCTCCATGTCTATCCTGGAATGACGACGGCGCTCACACCCCAGTTCCATACCACTGAGCAGCAATCAGTGAGTCTCATTCCAGACTTCTGAGTGGGAGAGAATTGTGTTCCTGTACATACAGCTATATCAGGCGATTTCAAAACACATTTCAGAGAGTGTGTCGCACTTTTAGATAGAGTGGTGAATCTGTGTGTTTTGTGTCGTGTTGTGACAGATGATAGGGAGGCTAAGAGCAATGGATGACAGGCTAGGCTATGGACAGCTGTGTCGCGTGATAAAAGACGTGAACTCGGAGATAAGACAAGGCAGAAAGGAGTCCATCGGTCGAAAACCCGTACCAAGAAAGGTAAAATTTCGCTCCGCGCGCGCGCGTTACTGCGCATGCGCGAAAGTTCCGGGCCGCCGCGCGCGCATGCGGAATTCTCCGCCCACCCAAACGCATGCGCAACCGGCCATTGTCACACTTTTCTCTCCATTTTCGCCGAGAAAGCCCTCGTTTTGGCTCCACAAAATGTCCGGTGTCGAGATGTCGGAAGAGCATCAGTCCGCGGTCGAAGAAAAAATGGCCGCTGAACAGAAACGGAAGCGACGCAGCTACGACGTCGCGTTCAAGATGGAAGTGGTGGCCTACGCCCAGGCGCACAACAAAATGAAAGCCGCGCGCCAGTTCGACATTCATCGGCGCTGCGTGCAGACTTGGTGCAAGACCAGGGATAAGCTGGAGGCCGCCAACGCCAAGCGCATGAGGCTAGCTGAGCACGAAGAAGCGCCCGCGGAAGCACTCGAGGTGTCCATTTCGGGGATTACGGAGGAAGGCGAACTTTTGGCCGCACTGCCGATCACGTGCGCCAGCATAGTCGACAACAATGACGTCACCTCCGACGCGGACGCCGTTACGATTGCTGCGCTCGTGGCGGCGGCAGCGGTAAAATTTTACAAATTTTTAGGCTCTCTTATTTTTGATTGTCCTTTTTTAGAGAGGTGATTCAACAGCAAACTCATCAGTTCAAACAGAGTGGGACAGCACGGTAAATATTTGGGGCAAAACAAGAATTTTTACTTTGACTCTGAGAATCAATGATGTGCATCGATCCAGGTGCACAGAACAAAAAGTAGACCAAAGAAATTTGCAACCTAGACAAAATAAGTAATGCCTGCACAAACAATGGAAGGGGTGGGTTGTTGACATAATGGTATTGTTATTGTTCCTCTGTTTTCTTTTTCCCTGTCGTATGTCCACAGATGGTCATAGCCGTCAACAGGTTGCAGGCCGAGGAGATTCTAAACAAAGAGGGAAGGTGAGTGAGTTGCACCTGTTTTCATTTTCATCATATTGAGCCAACTCTGCTCTGGTATGTGGAGATTGGAATTTGGGAAGGTTTTGTAGATTCTGTACATTTTAAAAAGTACTTACCCCAAATAAAGCACACCTCTCTAAAGAGTTCTGCCCCGTACAAATGTTAAAAGTGAAACGTGAAAATCTCAAATGTATGGGCATAATGCAGGACAACCTGTGTCATCCCTATATACAGTAAGTACTACCGTACTTACTGTATATACTTACTGATTTACTCTGAATAAGGGACACAAAGTGCACTTTCCTTAGATGTCCCTCATGCCAAAGTTTTATTCGTGAATTTTGTCAACTTGACGAAGTATTTTTTCTCTAATAGCGTTGTTTTATTGCGTCTCATGACACACGCACACACACGCACACACACACACACACACATGCACACACAAAAGCCGCCCGCCCTCTCTCGTTAGCTTTAGTCCTGCCTACACTTTACCTCTCTCTCTTCTTTCCCCAATCACAAACACAGACCGGGGTCTTTTCTAGTTCGACCGAGTGAGAAAACCCCCGGCGATTATGCCCTGGCGTTCAGGACGACGTCGGAGGTCAGACATTGGAAGATGGTTCAAGACGGAGGGAAATTCTACGTCCATCCTCGCCCAAATCCTTACAACAACCTAGAGGAGATCATTCAGGTAGGGAATGTGGCCGGTTTTTTCCTTCAGAATATTTAAGTTAACCCTTTTCTCTCTGTATAATTATATGTATGTCCTCTTTCTTCTGCTTCTTTGAGAAATTCAGTGCAAGTACAGCATATTTAAGGGACGGATGCAAAATCTTAGTGGGTGCTAATTTCCACCCCCAAAACCAGCATCTTTGTAGCGTATGTAGTGATTACACCCAGGCTTACCTCCCCTTCTTCCGCTCCCTCCCATCTCCCCCTACTCCCCCCCTCTCTCCCCACCTCCTTTTTCTCCCACAGCACTTCAGAGAAGCAGTGGGTCAAGAAACCGGACTGGTGATGACTCCACTTGTATTGGACTGGTCCAGAACCATCGTAAAGGTAGGTCCATACTTTACTTAGATGACCTCACCATACATACTTACATACATACATACATACATACTTACATACATACATACACGACCTCACCATTACCACGACTAAGTGTATGAGGAAATTAGCATGATTGGTAGAAAGAGGACACATGTGTGCTCTGCCAAATGGAATCTCGCAACGTATACACACACCACACACACACACGTTTAAGCACCTGGCTGGCTGCATGCGGTGACGCCGACAAAAGCCGCCCGCCCTCTCACGTTAGTTTTAGTCCTGCCTACACTTTACCTCTCTCTCTTCTTTCCCCAATCACAAACACACACACACTTAGACGTGCCAGGGAAAGGAGTAAAACAATGGTCATATACTATATACGCATGTGAGAAGCTAAAGAAAGCTTCTCCTTATATCCTTGTTACCCACACATCATGCCGCTCTCTCTCTCTCTCTATCCTTGTATCCCTGTCACCCACACATCATGCTGCTCTCTCTCTAGACTCCTAACATAGTCGTACACGGAGAGTCAGTATCCAGTGAGGATTTCCCCGGAGTGACGCCAGACACGCTCCTACCTCTCCCCGCATCTCCCTCAAGACTGAGTCGAGGTGGGTCCGAGAAATCATCAACTCTTGGAAGAAGTGAGTTTTTAAGAAAATGCCACTCTGGAACTATAGGACACTTTGATTTCACCAAGTAACTGTTGACTGTATTTCGCTATTTTGTTTTTGCCAATTTACAAACTTGATATGGCACTCTTGGGTCTTGGGGTGTAATACATATAAAACCTGCGTTTATGCATTCTCTAGTCAAAGTTGGTGGTCCTTTTGCTGTTTAACCCCGGCGCTTATCCTAATTTCTGCTCTCCCTTCACTTCTCCCCTCTCCCTCCATCTCTTTCCCTTCCTTCTCTTTCTTCATCTTTCTCCCTCCCTCCTCTCTTCTTTCTTCACCATTTCTCCCCCTCTTCTCTTCCTTCTTCACCATGTCTCCCTCCTTCCTCCCTCCTTCGCAGCGTCCAAACCCTCCCCCTCAATGTCACCCCTCAACCCAGCCAACCTAACCAGTTGGAGCGTGGACGACGTTACGCAGTGGCTCATCCAGAAAGACCTCGGGAAATTCATGGACATCTTCCGCGATAACCTCGTAGACGGCGAATGCCTCATGGCGCTAGACAACACGCTGCTGAAGGAAGATTTAGGGATAAATGCCCTCGGGCACAGAAGCCGGATAATGAAACGGGTCAACGAACTGAAGGCTTCGTTCGAACCGCAGCAAACTTCATAAAGCACCGGTTCTTTTTCATTTTTTCTCCTCTCCTTTCTCCGTGTGCCTGTGTGTGTCTTTGTAATCACTGGGTTTTTTTATCGTGCCATTCAGCGTTATTAGCAGGTCTGACTGTTTGTACTTTGTACTCGTGTTTTTTTGCTCTAAGCAAGCCCACATACAGTTTTCCTGTATACTCTTGATTTTCATTCCATGATGGATGTAAAATAAGGCTACTGGCATAATAGTGTACTAAGTATTATAATTATATGCGCAAGACACCCTGGTATATATACTAGATCATGATTCATGATTGTGTTGGGGCCCACAGCCAATGAATAAGGAAGACATCGCCTGAAGTTTGTGAATTAGCACTGCCGTCGGATTTGGGTGATTTTTATGGTTGTGAATGGACGGTGTATTTTACTTGCAAATTTTAATTGTGTGACGGCTAAAAAAGAGACCTGCTGTGTTATGGTGCATGATTGGCTATGGACGAATTGGTCGTCTATGTTTCTTGTGGAGAAACTGCATTTTGTTGATGCACCAGCCAATGGTACTGTGGTAGTGACAGTGGAGAGATAGGAACCTGGGAATGGGGGAATGACGTCATGGATTAACAACAGCATGGGAATGGGAGAATGACAGCATTAACAGGGAATGGGAAACGAACAATATTGTATTAGTTAAGGCATGGGCGTGTAAGTACATGGCAAAATGAATAGAGTGAAGAACGCACGAGTTTCACCAAAATCAAACGAAAGGGCGTGTAAGTACATGGCAAAATGGGGAACTTCTAAGAACATGGGAGACATGGAAAGGGGGTGTGGCTGACTAACTGGGATTGGTCCTCCTCGGGAGTGAAGATACGATGGGGAACCGTCACCACATTGTTGGGTCTAGAGCTCCATTGAACGGAGCCATACCCATACGATGTTCCAATCTGAGGAATTAATAACAACGTTCATCCGCCAGACCACTAAAGTATTTCACTGTTAAACGGAATGTGGCAGTATATGAGGGCTAAATTTAGAAACGGAACTTAATTGCATTCTTTCACTGCCCCTATTGGTTTGTTCTATCTTTAGTAACATTCTAAATTTAGCCCTTATATACTGCATTAAGTTCACCCTGCTTAGTGACTTGAAACTAGCCACATCGTTGCACTCGCCTGGTATTTGAGCGAGGCAGGGTTCACGCCGTAGAGGTCGTTGCCATGACTATGGATAAGTCCAGTCTGATTCAACTCTAACCCCAACAGTACACCTGGTACGAAATGACGACACATTTTATTTAACCCTCTCCACACCACGGGTAAGCCACACAAACACAGCACAAAATGGTAATTCATGAGTCATCATCTTGCGCAATGATACACCAATAATGAATGTATAAAAATGTGCTTTCAAACAAAACAGTCATACATACATGTTATTGTACATTATCTCTTACCTACTACAAATCCGATGGTGACGTCTTCAGGTTCATTTGTAACATTACACATCCTCCTGAACGCTTCTCTTCCACTGAAAATAAAAGCGAGCATAATTACTTCACATAATCGGTTTACTCTTTTCTATTTTCATGAATTACTGATTTATATGAAGAAGGAAGGAAGGATTTGATTGGCTGGAGGTCACATGACTCACCCAATCCAGCGTCTGGCCTTGTCTAGAAGGGTTCTACTAAGGCAGTACATGCCTCCTACGGCGAAATGGTAGGGAGTGCCTGGTGTCCCTAGCTTCGCCTCTGTTGGTGAGGGAGGGAGGGAGGGAGGAGAGGGAGTGAGGGAGGCAAGGAGGGAGCGAGAAAGGGGAGAGCCCAGGAGGGAGGGGGGAGGGAGTAGTGGAGAAAGAGAGACCAGGTCTGAGCTTGTCTACCTGGTAAAACTCTCCGCGGTTCTCCTGGTTTTGTTCCTGCACGCCCGAAATAAACAGGCTCGTCTCGTCTGAAATTTGCCAAAACGTCAACCAGTCTGTCGAGGTTGACGTAAACATCATCATCAACATGGCAAAACCACCTGCGGAAGAACAATATTTGGTTATATTGGATATACAAAATAATAGTATATACACTGCATATATGTATTAGTTAACGTATAGGCGGCGAGGCGGTACAGGAGATACTCCGAGGCTGTTGACTATACCGGACGAGGGCGTAGCCCGAGGCGCGGTATAGTTAACAGCCGAGGAGGATTTCCTGTACCCGCCAAGACGCCTGACGTTAACTGATTTGTAGTCCAACTAGCCAATCACAATGCTGAATTTCTGCTGTGTCATCTTGCACTAATGTACTAATGACTGTTGTGTAAACTTTGGAAGCCAGACAATTTGCACTACGCCTAGCGCTAGATGTTGTGATAAGGACTTCCTGTCCAATACTGATACCGGTGCAGCCCGCAGCCCACAGCTCAGAATACTAGCACCGGGTTGTTTGAAGTTGGACTACAAAGCCACATATTGAGAGGGAGATTTTTTCCACAATACAAAATTGTGGTCCCGGCCCACAAAATTTTGCAAAGATAGCTTTATAATTTTGCTTATTACCCCTACTCCACAGTACATAAGATGCGTGAAGAATTTGGTGAAGAAGAGCGTAACTCACTCGTAGTGGCTGTTCTCTGCTAGAAACATGAGCGATATTTCATCGCCTGCCTTGTCACACAATCTGAAAGAAGACTAGTATAATTATATAGTTGCCTACAATACTAATGTGCCAGACACATTGTAACGTTAGAACCGTTGAGGCAAAGCACACAAACAGTCCTGAGATTGAGGGTGAAGCAGGCTCACTGCTTAGTGATTGTTGGAGCCTGGCAATTAATGTCAGAACACAAAGGGTAAGGTATATTAGACTATGAACAAAAAGTGTTGAATAAGCAAGCTTGATTGTTAAGGGATAGAAAGAGAGGCAGAGTTACGTAAGTTTAAACTTCGTGGCCACTCACTTGTCATATCCAGCAACCGAAACGAGATATTTCAGCCCTGTGCAAGATCGAATAATAGATGATGTCAATATTTTATAAGATACTTCAAGGCTTTAGCCACTAAAGAACCCAGCCCTTGGGAAGAACTCATGAGGCACAACATTGCCAAGATCAATGGAATTACTTTTGATTCATCATAAGACGTCCACATGCCTTAACAACATAAACTATTTTCGTAATTGTTACAACAGTTCAACAGAAGCGAGCTGCAACAAACTTGGCCAGCATACATACACTCTTTGCAGGTAATCGTGGTAAGCTACAACTAATGGTTAATTTCTAGTAAGCATAGAGTCCTAATGGGTGTGCTAACGATCGAGGTATACACAATGCAGAGCCTCTAGGTGTAGAAGTAACTGAAGTTTATTATGCCAAATATTTACAATGATGTGCGACACTTTAGACTAATGATGCCCAAACACTGTCAATGGATGATAGTGCAGTTAGATAGGCAGAAAATAAAGTTACCTGCTTCTGCTGTCCTATACTGTAGCACTGGGTCAAAGTCATCGGTGATGATCACCACATTTGATCTGTTCACGTTGGCCAGCCACGTATGAAACAACCGGGGCAGTCTCTTGGAGTGGTACTTTGCCGACGTCCGAACGGTGAACAGAATGTGGTTTCCCTCCAGTTCGAAAGGGGTTAACTCGCGAACTTTCTCGAAGCATTCGGCGTGCTTTTTCCAGCGACGGGCTTTCAGTATCTCCGCAAGCCGTGGTCCAGGTGTCAACTTGCACGCCCTGTGAAAAAAAGAAAGTGCATGCTACTTTGGAACCTGCGAGAATTCATCTTCGGATTTTTAGATTTGATAAGTGTTCACAAATTTCTCTGCTAATGTATGCATTGTGGACAGGGGAATATTACAGAGAAATTATATGTAGAGCTAATCTGGGCAAGTCTTCCACAGTATCTTCAAAAAATGGTTGTGTGTGTCATAATACATATTTACCTGGGAACTGGAGGATCCTTTATATCGATTCTCAGCCGATCGGCTTCATTATAGAACTGAAGATCTGTCTTATCCCACCTCGCCAACAACTCGAAAATATCGATCCCTTTGTTGGTGAAAATATCACCCGACTTCCCCCTGAAAGAAAAGCTCTGCCGCGGAGGACGTGAGAGCAAAGTCGCGTTTGAGAAATTTGTCGGGAAAAGAGCGGCGACGTCGGTGGGAACTGGTGCCAGAGAAACCGGTGAATCGTTGCTATAGAACGGATAATCCATACTCTTATCCTTCTTCCTGTCGTTCCAGTGTTCGTAGTTGTAGTCGATCGACGTATTAGCTGGCTTCTTTGCCATATTTCGCCGTTTGATGCTCTCTCGCATATTATCTTCGTAGCTTCTAAAACTTTTCTTCTTGGTAGAATTTTTTGCTGAACTAGTAGTAGCCGCTATATTATTATTTTGAGTGGTGCTCTCACGAAAAGTATTTGCCGTACGGATAATATTTGAAACTGGATTTGTTTTGCTCTGGTTTTTTGCCAAGTTTGTTTGTAAACTTCTTGCTGTGTGATTTTCGACTGAGGCTTGAGGCAATGCAGTGCTGTTGGGAGAGATTCTGCTGAAGTGTAACTCCCTTCTCTGAGGATGTAAGAGTGACAAAGTCGGAGGAATCTGGACGTATCTTGCGGAAAACGGCGCCCCTCCGTAGCTCTCTCGTTCACTGTCGGAATTCTCCGAACTCAGCACCAGGAGGAGGCCGTTTTGGACGGCAAGAAGTGACACAGTGACGATCAATATGATTGAGACGAGGAGTTTTAGTCTCAGCTTCATGCCAGTACACCTCCCTGTGGAGACGTAGCTAGAAGGGTAGCTATATAGCTACGTGTACACAGCTAACTCGGACTAGCTAGATCTAGGTAGCTATGTCACTTACGTATATACTACGCAAAAACAGTGAATGGGGTCGTCTTCCGGTAAAGTATTGACAGGTTAGTGCTGTGCACGTTGAGGTCTTGGGCTTTGCAGATCCCAGCCCCCGTCTCACAGGTCGATCTGGCCGGCCAGCGTTTCGCTTCCGCCGGCAGCGAGGCCACGGTCTGCGAGCCCTCGAGAAGGGTGCGGCCGCCTGTTGACTGTTTAGCTAGAGCAGCCAGGGATCTCGTTATCCCCTCCCAGCTCCTGGAATTCTAGCAAACCCCACCAGTAGTATAGTAAAGTGCTCCGGCCCACCGCACGCGCTGCACAACAACAACACAGAACAAAGGGAGAAAAGGGGGCGGGGCAAGGTAGGTTCGCGGTGTACGCGGTGGGGGTGCGTAGTGCGCATGCGTAGCTTGCAATCTGCGCGCGCTCCACCCCCGCAAAACTAGAGATGTTTCCGAGACGGGCAGCTCTGGTTGCGGCACTGACGGGAGCAGTAGTCTACTGGACAACCGGTCTTGGTCCCGCGGCAGCTCTCGCCGTTTCCCTGACGACGTTTCTCCCCCTCGGCGGCGCCCGCTACCTCAGTCTTCTCTACCGAGTTCTCCCAAGAGACGTAAAGTAAGATCCTCCACACATACAGTGGAACTCCTCTAATCCGGACACCAATGGGACAGAAGAAACTGTCCATATTAGTGAGGTGTCCTTATTTCAGAGGTTAAATTGATGCCAATACGGATGTCTTTCGGTGATTTTTCTTTTTCAGATTAGTTCTGCTGGCCGTGAAAGCGAGAAGGCGCCTAAAATATTACCAAGACAAAAAATTCAACCTCTTCGACATTTTCTGCGAAGTGACAAGCAAACACCCCCACAAAACCGCAATAATTTGCGTGGATGATGGACGAAAGTGGACGTTTGCCGAACTGGAGAAATATGCCGGTCGAGTTGCGTGCTATTTCAGCAGCATAGGCGTTGCCAAAGGTGACGTGGTGGCGGTGTTTGTGGAGAATTGTCCTGAGCACATTGGTACGTTTTTTTATCCTCACATCTTCATAGTGGTACTAATATTTCAACTATGTAATACAATCTCTCGCACTTCTTTCCTTTCATTCTTTCCACAGTCCTTCTATCCTATTCCTAAAGCTAATCGTCTCCACTACCCCTCGCACTTCTTTTAATTTCTTTTCTACCAACTTGGCACTGTATTTTATTCTCTCTTTCTTCTTTTATTTTCTCCTCCCTACTACTCTCTCTCTCTCTCTCTCCCCCTCTCTCCCTCTCTCTCTCTCCCTCTCTCTCTCTCAAAAGGCCTGAGCCTGGGACTATGGAAACTTGGAGCAATCCCAGCGTACATCAACACGAATCTTCGACAGTCTTCCCTCCTGCATTGCCTCAACATTTCAAACGCCAAACACCTCATCTGCTCGGCCCACCTCCTGCCCCACGTCGCAGAGATAGAGAACAATTGGAGGAAGGGTTGGCCAGTGGCAGTGTGTTTCTTCTGGGCGGGACGGGCGTGGACGATGGTGGAAAAATGGGCGGGGCAACAAGAGGGAAAAATTTGGAACTGGAATTGGAGAATGTGACTGAACGCAACCTCCCACCTCTTCAGGACAAGTCTCTCTCTGGTAAAATTTTTACAGCTCTCAAAAAATTTGACGAACTTTTTACGAGCTCAATTCTATTGTCTATGCTGCGGTGTTTTTGGAGGGTGAAACGAATACATTTGTGTTAATAATATCTCGAGCACACTTCACATGTAATGCTCATTGCACATGTGGCATCCCAGGCAGTTACCATAATGATAGTGTTTTTGATGAGGACTGTGATCACGTTTTAGTTAACGTACAGGCGCGAGGCAGGATATAGTCCAGAGGCAGCCAAGAAGCCTGAAGTTAGTCCAACTAGCCAATCACAATATCCTACTAATTACTAATGGATTGTTGTGTAAACTTGGAAGCCAGACAATTTGCATTATGCCTAGCGCTAGATGTTGTGATAAGGACTTCCTGGCAAGCACTGGATTGTTTGAAGTTGGACTACAAATGGACATTATACAAACTCTCTCTGGTTTATTCATCACAGATATAGCCTCCTACATATACACCTCTGGTACCACTGGTCTTCCAAAGGCGTGCAGAGTCACTAGTCTGAAGTAAGAACAAACAGTGGAACCTCTCATAATGACACCTCTCCAAGGACACCCCTGAAATGAGGACACCTCTCCAAGGACACCCCTGAAATGAGGACACCTCTCTAAGGACACCCCTGAAATGAGGACACCTCTCGAAGGACACCCCTGAAATGAGGACACCTCTCCAAGGACACCCCTGAAATGAGGACACCTCTCCAAGGACACCCCTGAAATGAGGACACCTCTCCAAGGACACCCCTGAAATGAGGACACCTCTCTAAGGACACCCCTGAAATGAGGACACCTCTAAGGACAGCCTTGAAATAAGGACACCTCTCTAAGGACACCCCTGAAATGAGGACACCTCTCCAAGGACACCCCTGAAATGAGGACACCTCTCCAAGGACACCCCTGAAATGAGGACACCTCTCCAAGGACACCCCTGAAATGAGGACACCTCTCTAAGGACACCCCTGAAATGAGGACACCTCTCTAAGGACAGCCCTTGAAATAAGGACACCTCTCTAAGGACACCCCTGAAATGAGGACACCTCTCTAAGGACACCCCTGAAATGAGGACACCTCTCTCTAAGGACACCCCTGAAATGAGGACACCTCTCTAAGGACACCCCTGAAATGAGGACACCTCTCTAAGGACACCCCCTGAAATGAGGACACCTCTCGAAGGACACCCCTGAAATGAGGACACCTCTCTAAGGACACCCCTGAAATGAGGACACCTCTAAGGACAGCCTTGAAATAAGGACACCTCTCTAAGGACAGCCTTGAAATAAGGACACCTCTCTAAGGACACCCCTGAAATGAGGACACCTCTCTAAGGACACCCCTGAAATGAGGACACCTCTCTCTAAGGACACCCCTGAAATAAGGACACCTCTCTAAGGACACCCCTGAAATGAGGACACCTTTTCTAACAATATAGGACACCTCCCTGATATGGACAACTTCCAACTTTACCTCAACCTACTAATCCTCTTATATATTATACAGAACTGTTGGTGGCTCTTGTGGCATAGCGACCCTGGGTCATGTGACCTCTGATGACATCATCTACAATTGTCTCCCCCTCTACCACTCCGCAGGAGGGTTACTAGCTCTCGGCGATGTACTATTTCTCGGGTGTACAATGGTGCTCAGGAAAAAATTTTCAGCCTCCAAGTTTTTTGAGGACTGTACAAAGTACAACTGCACCGTGAGTAAAAACTGCACATCACTTCTTGATTTTTGAATGCAGCATAATTTGTGTACGAGCTATAAATTGGAATGCGTGAAGAACCACATGTAAGTGTGCTAGCCGGGTGTAACAATCCTGATCAGAGTGTGGGATTAACTTGTGCATGAGGATTGACCAAATATGAGCCTTAATCTCGAGCCTTTACCTTTACTAAGTGTGGACATATTACATATAATATGCTATTACATCACGGATGTGTGAGCAAGCGCAATGGGAGTTTGGGTCATTAACCAAAATATCTTTCCCATTTCCAACTGGCAGGTGGTGCAATACATTGGGGAAGTCTGTCGCTATCTTCTAGCCCAGCCAGTGCGCGATACAGATGCCACCAACCCGGTAAACATCGCCGTCGGCAACGGACTCCGCCCGGAAATCTGGAACCAGTTTCAGACTCGTTTCGGGATATCCCGAGTGGCCGAGTTTTACGCCGCTACCGAGGGAGTCAGTGCAAGCTGTAACCATGACAACAAGCCTGGGGCAGTCGGGCATGTGATAATCTCGTTCCCGTTCCCCCCTTCAATCATACTCGTCAAACGAGATCCGCAAACAGGTCGTTATCTCCGTGATGACAGGGGTTTCCTAGTTCAAGCGGGGGTCAACGAACCCGGAGAATTGATATCGCCAGTCGACCAATCAGATCAGTTTCGGCAGTACCATGGTTACAGCAACCGAAAAGCCACGGAGAATAAACTGATACACAACGTCTTCAGGCAAGGCGACACGTATTACAAATCGGGCGACGTTCTTACGCATGGACGAAGAAGGCTACCTCTATTTCTGCGACAGAACTGGGGACACGTTCCGTTGGAAGGGGGAGAACGTCTCGACGGCAGAGGTGGAGGGAGCAATGCAAAAGATACTCGGCCTGAAAGATGTTTTAGTGTATGGCGTAGTCGTCCATGGTTCAGACGGACGTGCTGGCATGGCAGCCATCAACACCGACGAAGATTCCCTGGACATATCGGACCTGTATCGAAAACTATCGGTCGAGCTCCCGCGCTATGCCGTCCCTATCTTCGTCCGGTTGATCAGCAGCGTGGCGCTCACTTCCACGTTCAAACTGAAGAAGACGCGGGCGAGAGAGGAGGGGTACGATCTGGGACGCGTGGCTGACCCACTGTTTCTCCTTCATCCGTCCCAGGGTCGCTACGTGAGACTGACTCCAGAACTGATACTGGAACTGGAGAATGGGAACCTGAAACTCTGAACACGTTGGACACCACAGACAATTAGTAGAGATTTGACATAAGCAATTCTATATTAGACTTCAACAGTTAGTGCGAGTTCTTGTGCAGAACAAAATGGTAAAAAATTTAATGGCTTTTCACAACTAATGCTGTTACCTTACTTATGAAAATTGATTGATTGATTGATTGCATTTAAAATATCGTATATATGTACAAAACTGCGAGTGATGATGTCGTTGAGTATAATATACAGTACTGTTCCCTAGGAAACAGCAGGGATGTCTGTTATTGCTGCTGTTGTTGCTATGGTTATTGCGAGATGCAACGACCTCGTCGGCGCTGCGCCACAGTCCGTAGCTCTTCCCGACAGAGTGTTGCCAGAGACGGATCGTTCCGTCCTCTGACCCCGAACAGTAGACCTCTCCGTCCGGACTGTAGCGGACACAGTGAACTGGTCCAAAGTGACCCTTGTATGATTCTATGGGGAGAGATTACTGAAGATTACTGACAGTTTACTGTGTATGTTTTAAAGATTACTGGCAGTTCACTCTGAAGATTACCGACAGTTTACTAGGTTTACAGTACGCTAGTTCTGAAGGCATTCTGTATCGATTACAGCGATAGAATTGGGTATGCTATTACTTTACTGAGCTAGTTTACTAAGAGAATACTGACAATTTACTGAGCTCACCAACTTCCTTTTCCTCCTCGTAGTCAAACTTGTACAGTTTGAAATCGTCTCCCCCCGTCACCAGCCACTTCCCAGATGGGTGGAGTGTCGCTGAGTAGCACAGCGGCACCGAGACTGTCTTGACCTTCTCAAAACTTTTAGAGAGAGCAGAGAAAATACTGTCGCTGAAAATTTCACAAACCCTCCAAAGCAAGTCAGTTGGTTTTCGGATATGGGCTAGGTGCATCGCACGCATATATTTAACCCCATCCTTACAGTCATT